CCTTTTGTTTTTCTTCGATAGAAATTTACTTCTTCCATATGTTCCTTAAAGGAATACTTATTATGTATCCATGTTTATAAGACAAAAATTACATATTTAAATAAATATATGGAATCATTTAGCACAAAATATTTTTAATCAAATGACATTCTTACATGATACTGGGTAATCATAACAAGATGTCAAAATTGGAGTAGTCAGCAGTCAATAGAATGTAGTAAATTTTTGCTAGTAGCACTTTGGGCATGTTCCGTGCTTTGGTTTATGACCACTTGTGGGTACTGTAATTTGGGTACTGATGGATAATTCACTAAGTACCAAACACGTTCAATGTCAAGGTTCTTAATAAAATACCAAAATTTAAAAATTAAAAAAGTAAAAATATCAAAAAAATTAAAATTTATGTATTAAAGTGGCTCTTTAAGAAAAATTAACATCTCATTGAAATTTTATTAAATTTATTTCATCACTTAATTATATACCTATTTTGAAATCCATATTGTGTAAGAGAAGTAGCACCATAACAATTCCAGGGTTTATCAACTCCAAATATGGGCAGTTTTCCTGGTTTATGTCTCTTCTAATTAATGGCAGGGAGTAGTTGTGCCATTCCTCTACCATGACCTGCTGCTCATGGCCCAAACCACTAAATGGTGGTTTGTAACAGTGGTTTGTAAGTAATGGTGGTTTTTAGTCAGTAATATGGTTTGGATGATTGTCCCCTCCAAATCTCACATGGAGATGTGATTCCCAACACTGTAGGTAGGGCCTGGTGGGAGGTGATTCAATCACGGAAATGGATCCTTCATGAATTATTTAGCACCATGCCCTTGGTGATAAGTGAGTTCCTGCTCAGTTAGTTCACGGATCTGGTTGTTCAAAAGTCCAGGACCTTTTGCCTTGCTCTCTTTATCTCTCACCATGTGACATGCTGACTCCCCCTCACCTTCCACCATAATTGTAAGCTTCCTGAGGCCTCACCTGATGCAGATGCCAACATCATGCTTCCTGTACAGCCTGCAAAATCATATGCTAAAATAAACCTCTTTTCTTTACAAATTACCCAGTCTCAGGTATATCTTTATATTAACAGTAATGCAAATGGATTAATATAGTCAGTCTACATTAATGGAGCAAAGTTTAGTAATGTTAGAAATGGTTGTACAGAAAAAAGCTTTAGAATGAAGCCATTGTATTTCAGGACTTCTACGGAGGATGGAAACTGCAGTTGTGATCTTTTTATTGCACAAAGAACAATGCAAAGAAAGCAAGAGGATTCAATTTTGGCACCCAGTTCAATTCTGGTTTTGCAGATTGCAAACTAGTCTGGATCAGATCAATCAAGGCCATAGAAAATATTTTGGAGTGTTGTATATTTATAGACTATAAATTCTCTACTGGGAGTTTTTATGGGACCACCTTCTGGTCCTCTGGACTTTCAGAGTAGAGATAATAAGGCCAAGAGATGAAGAAGTCCTGAGAGAAAGGATAGTACTTAAGGTAGTCTATAATGAACAGAAAAGGGTCCTGCATGGCAGTGGACATGGTAGGGGGTTTGTGTTGTTGATATAGAGAAGGACCAGCATGAGAAGTCTAAAACAATAGTGGTACAGGTGCCCAGAAAAAGAAAACAGAGTGTGGGGTGTTGAAAATTTTCAGTGACTAAGAAAAGTAGAAATGTGAGTTGTTCACAGGTGACCCCCCTCAGATATATTCTATTTTAAATTTTGCATGAGTCATTTTTGTGCAGGAAGTGCAGTACCTTGTCTGTAACAGGGAGGTGATGAGGACTATGTGTGAATTGTCAGCGGGTATCAAGAGTTCTGATATATTCAGGGCTTTTGTAATAGGGTTAGATGTCATGATGAGTCATTGGGTATTTATTTTTATTTTTATTTTTTACTTTTGAGGCGGAGTCTCACACTGTCGCCCTGGCTGGAGTGCAGTGGCCTGATCTCGGCTCACTGCAACCTCTGCCTCCCAGGTTCAAACAATTCTCCTTGCCTCAGCCTCCCAAGTAGCTGGGATTACAGGCACGTGTCACCACGCCTGGCTAATTTTTTTTTGTATTTTTAGTAGAGATGGGGTTTCACTATGTTGGCCAGACTGGTCTCAAACTCCTGACCTCGTGATCTGCCCACCATGGCCTCTCAAAGTGCTTGGATTACAGGGGTGAGCCACAGTGCCCGGCCGAGTCATTAGTTTAAGTCCTTTCCTTATAACCCTCCATGTCTTATAATTAACTTAAATGGTGATAAGATGACTTCTTTCAGCTCAGTAACTCTATCTTGCCAGGTCAGATACGGAGTTCCCAAACAGGGTATTTGCTTTGTATGACGCCTACTTCTTCAACCTCATTAGGACAGTTAAATGCACCTAAACTGCTGAATAACACCAAGTGAACTGGCAAACTTGACTTTAGGTCTCCAAATACCACATCTTTTGGTCTTCTCACCATGTCTTAAATCCTGGTTCTTTTGTTGGAATTATTTACTTTTATCAACAATTATAGCAACACTCTGTTCCCTCCCCCCCCATAGAAGTGCTATTTCTTTCTCAAGAGAGAGCTCTAAAAATGTTGCATCAGAGTAGACAGCTCAGAAACCTTAAAGCTCTTTTTCTTTGTTGCCAAAGTAATTCTGTAATTTTTAAATTATATCTCATTTTTCATCTGGGAAGCTTTGTGAAGAAATGCTTCTTTCTCCAAGGAAGTTATTAGATATTGAATTATAGTCCCTGTTCTTCCTGTTGATGAAAAAGTGTTCACATTAGATAAACTTATTTCATGATTTATTAATGAACATATAGCAGTAATTTGACTCAGCAAAGCTATAAGGATGAAATAAAGGAAAACTTTTGTGAGAAATTCTGAAAATTAAAGAACTGTATTTTTGATCTGGCTTGAAAGAGTTGCAGTCATACCTAGAAGGATGAAGGCAGCCATTGAAAAAGAGATGGGAAGTGTGAGGCCATCGACAAAGGGAAATTTTTCTAAAAAGGCAGGCGGTTACCTCAGGAAAGGAGACTTGCTAAAAGTACTGAGTAAGGGCAGGGTATAATTTAATTGCTAAATTGGGTTTTGGACGATATCAGGATAAGACTTAATCTGGAATTAATGAGTTTAAGTCTAACAAGAAAGGACAGAGTGACACCTGGGATTGTCATCAGTGTTTTGCTAGCCTAAGGGGATAATAAAAATTGTAATGCTAACCTTAGGATGAATTGTTTGATTTTTACCTTTAAGCCATACTGTTTTATTATTATTATTATTACTATACTTTAAGTTCTAGGGTACATGTGCACAACGTGCAGGTTTGTTACGTATGTATACTTGTGCCATGTTGATGTGCTGCACCCATCAACTCATCAGCACCCATCAACTCGTCATTTACATCAGGTATAACTCCCAATGCAATCCCTCCACCTTCCCCCTCCCCATGATAGGCCCCGGTGTGTGATGTTCCCCTTCCTGAGTCCAAGTGATCTCATTGTTCAATTCCCACCTATGAGTGAGAACATGCCGTGTTTGGTTTTCTGTTCTTGCGATAGTTTGATGAGAATGATGGTTTCCAGCTGCATCCATGTCCCTACAAAGGACACAAACTCATCTTTTTTTATGGCTGCATAGTATTCTATGGTGTATATGTGCCACCTTTTCTTAATCCAGTCTGTCACTGATGGACATTTGGGTTGATTCCAAGTCTTTGCTATTGTGAATAGTGCCGCAATGAACATACATGTGCATGTGTCTTTATAGCAGCATGATTTATAATCCTTTGGGTACATACCCAGTAATGGCATGGCTGGGTCATATGGTACTTCTAGTTCTAGATCCTTGAAGAATTGCCATACTGCTTTCCATAATGGTTGAACTAGTTTACAATCCCACCAACAGTGTAAAAGTGTTCCTATTTCTCCACATCCTCTCCAACACCTGTTGTTTCCTGAATTTTTAATGATCACCATTCTAACTGGTGTGAGATGGTATCTCATTGTGGTTTTGATTTGCATTTCTCTGATGGCCAGTGACGAACCAGGAAGAAGTTGAATCCCTGAATAGATCAATAGCAGGCTCTGAAATTGAGGCAATAATTAATAGCCTACCAACCAAAAAAAGTCCAGGACCAGATGAATTCACATCTGAATTCTACCAGAGGTACAAGGAGGAGCTGGTACCATTCCTTTTGAAACTATTCCGATCAATAGAAAAAGAGAGAATCCTCCCTAACTCATTTTATGAGGCCAACATCATCCTGATACCAAAGCCTGGCAGAGACACAACAAAAAAGGGGAATTTTAGACCAATATCCCTGATGAACATCGATGCAAAAATCCTCAATAAAATGCTGGCAAACCGAATCCAGCAGCACATCAAAAAGCTTATCCACCATGATCAAGTGGGCTTCATCCCTGGGACGCAAGGCTGGTTCAACATACACAAATCAATAAACGCAATCCAGCATATAAACAGAGCCATACTGATTTTTACCTACGTACCATAAAGCACAGCTGACATTTATTAAACACAACCTGACCTTATTCAATTATTTAAGCATCAAATGATTTACCAAATGTTCAAAAATATAACTTAAAAGTTCACAACTGTTCTGAGAGAAGGTAGAGATTGTGGTGGATACTTAGAAATAATGTGACCATTTGAAAAGGAAGAATATTCATGATATAGGGCTGAGATGAAGAAAGGCAAGAGCTAAAATTAGAGAACAATGGAAACCATACTGTAGTAAATATTAGAAAGATATTTGAGTGGTCGATTGATTGAGGGTCTTTATCTGAAGGGTCACAGAAAAACACTATACTTTCTTAAGTAAAAAATAGCATTGATTTAGGAGTTTTAATCGATGATGTCATGTTGGATAGGGAGGGGCTGGATCATAGAGTAGTGGTGGTGGCAATTGCACTTAGCAAATTATTAAGTGAACTCCCCCACTCCGGGCTAGTTTTGTGGTTGTACAAAAGTAAAAATGGAATAGGTATGAGGCTGTGGGCACAGCTGGTTTCATTTAAACCAAACTTGATTAGATTCAGATAGATCTGGCACATGTAATACTGGTTAGGTCTACCAGAAGTCTATTTAAATAAGAAACTAAGGAGCTCTCTGGTTGAAAATTCAGTAGAAGAAAAGATGGAGTCAACTGGGAGATATTGTAGCAAAAAAAAAAAAAAAAATACATTTGTCATCCTTGGGGAATAGTGATGCTGAATACACATTATTTTTGTCACTTAGATTTGTCTTCTATATTAACCTATGTTTAAAAGTAATACCTAAATTTTATTTAAAAGTCTCTAGGCAAACAACTCTGCTTTGCTATCTTTTAGTAGGACTTAACACAAAATATGGAAAGAAGCACTTTCCTCCAATTCAAGGTTTGATGCCTCAGAGATTCCCATGTCACTGCTGCAGTAGTAGCAGAAATGGCACAGCAAGGCTGAGAAGATAGCTCTGTAGAGGCTTTATCAGTACCTGAGGGACACACTTGTACAGCACTCAAGGGAAAGGCCTGAAGAAGAAAAGAGAGATAATTAGCACAGGTTAAGAAACATGACTTGTTCTGAGTACATGTAAGATATCTGGTGGGGACCCCAGATGTGCCTGGGGGGCAAAGGATTTTGCAGAGAATTTGTTTTAAATTGTGAAGAAAGAAAAACAGTAAATAAGACATGGGTGATATTTGAATTGAAATGAACTGGTTATTGTGATAGGTGGAATAGTGGCTCCCCAAAGATATTGAAACCCTAATATTATATGAATATGTTATGTTACATAGCAAGGGATAATTAAGGCTGAAGATGGAATTATGTTGCTCGTCAATTAGTCCAGGAACTTTTTTTTTTTATTATCCAGGTGAGATCAATATAACCACAAGGGTTCTTAAATAGAAAAAGAATAGCCAGAGAGATGGAAGCATAAAAAGACTCAACCAAACATTGCAGGTTTTGAAGATGGGAGGGGGCCAGGAGCCAGCAAATGTGGGCGGCCTCTAGAATCTGGAAATGCAAGAAAATGAATTTTTCCTTAGAACCTTCAGAAGGGAATGTAGCCCTGTTGACATCTTGCTTTTAGCCTGGTAAGACCTATTTCGTACTTCTGTTCTCCAGAATGCAGGATAATAAATTTGTGTTGGTTTAAACCACTAAATTTGTGTTAATTTGTTGCAACAGCAATAGGAAAATAATACAGTTGTGAATTAATGGGAATTGATGTGATTGATAATGGAAAGAAAAGAGCAAAATAAATATGTAATTAAAAAAAATCATATGTGGTCAGTTGGGATGGCAATATATCCACAGAATCAAATGAGAATTAGCAATGGGAGCTATTTGGAGGGAGAAGGTAATGAGATTCAACTGATTTATGTTGAGTTTGAGACAGTAGAATAATATGAAAGCATAACTATCCAGATGAAAAAAACACAAATTTGGATATGGAAGTTGAAAATATAGAACATCTATGAGAATGGGGAATTAATCTGAAGGGTATTTTACAACAAAAAAGATTGAGTCTGGAGATTTTCAGATTTAGGGGTAAAGTCCTGAAAAATAAAATGCAGCAATCAGAGATATTGAAAGGAAATAAGTAAAGGATAGGGATACATTCTCAGAGTTTGTGATATGCAACTGAAGTTCAGTGGACATCTGTTGAATCAAGAGCTTAGAAACTCAATAAAGAGTAAGACCAATATTTTTTAAAGTCTCCTCGCTAGTCCAAGGGATGAGGTCTGCTCCTATACATTATTATAGGCTTGGGAATTGACTGGTTTGTCTTACATTTCAAAAAACATAAGTAAAATGTTAAAGTTTGGAGTTTGTGTCATGGTAAAGTGTTATCTAACACGAGTATATATAAGTGCTTATTTTACTCATACCCTTGCCCACACCGAAAGTGATCATTTGAAAAGGAGGATTTCAGGGGCACCCAACTAAATTAAGGTATATTCCTTAGTATATTATCAATGTATGACACACGTTTTATTTGCTTTTAAGCCTTTCAGCTCCCAGCATGATCCCATTCCCTTATACTTCCCTTCTCCTTTGTGCTAAATTTACATTCTGCCAATCCACCTCTCATAAATTTCTTTATGTGTGTGTTCATGTAAAATATATGGCATTGTTTCTTATAATGTATATACATTCTTATAAATGTAGATATGAATAGTGTAAATTTCATATATAATTACCTAAGTTGTATTGTATTTCTTACTTTTCTTACTCTTTCCATATAAAACTATAATTTTTTTGATAAATATATTGGACTTACCCTTTTAGTGCCCACTTTCTAGTCTTCTATTGGCTTCTATCTACATTGCTTCCAAATTTTTACTCCTACTGTACTTCAGTGAATATTTTTATGTATGTCTATTTGTGTACCTGAGCAAAGTCTTCTACAGAATTTTTTGGATTGTGGGATATATACATATCCTTATTTCATTAAATAATAGATTTTGTTTCCAAAACGAATGCCACTGTTTCCATCCAACAGTAGTGCCTGAGGATTTCCATTTCTTGGCATCTGCACCAACACTTGATATTATTAGAGTTTTTGCAAACATGAAGTACATGCAATATATCTCATTGTGATTTTTATTTGCACTTCTTTGATTACTACTGTGGTTGATCTTTTTCTTTATAATTTATACTATCTGCTTCTACAGATTGCCCATTCATATCCTTTCCCTATCTCTCTTTCTGGTTTTCATATTTCTTCATAATTTGTAAGAATTCCTTATATATTCTATCTTGTGATCCAAAGTCTGATGCCTCATCCATTAGGCCATGTGGTCTCCTTCTTCCTGATATATTCTAGATCTTAATCTAGCAATCCTTGTGCCTCAAGCAATCCTTGTGCCTCAGCCTCCCAAGTAGCTGAGAATACAGATGCATGCCACCACACCCAGCTAGTTTTTGTAATTTTTGTAGAGTCGAAGTTTTGCCATGTTTCCCGGGCTGGTCTCGAACTCCTGGCCTCAAGTGATCCACCAACCTTGGCCTCCCAAAGTGCTGGGATTATAGGCATGAACCACTGCTCCCGGCCTGTACTATTAACTTTAAATAAGGGACCATGTTTGAGGAAATCTTTCCTTTCCATATAGTACTGCTATATATGGTTTTCTCTTACATTATAAATGCCTTTTGTTCTTATTTAAAAATCATTCTCTACGGAATAAGAGATAGAATATATTTTCTACTAATTTGGTTGTTTTGGTTTTCACAGGATATGCTCAATTCTTGAAGTTTATTTTTGTGAAATTTGATAATTTTATTGTGTATTCCATATAGCAAACCAATTATTGATATTATTTACAAAAGAATTCACCCTTTACTAGATGCTATATTAGTCTTTTGTTTTTTCTTACATCTAATGTTGCTGTTTGGAAACCTCAGGCCAATGATTTAAATTTAAGGCTTTACTTTTTCATTCTAGAAACTTTGAGAACTTCTCATGGCATTCTGTGTTTTCAGATACTTAGATTTACATATATAAATATGCATTGTATTGTCTTTTCTGCTCTGCTGTGTACTTCATGAGGCTTCTCAACTAAGAGCATGTATCTTTCTTTAGTTACAAAAAATTATGAGTGTTATATCTTCAGCTATTTCCTCCCCTCATTTTCTTATTTATTACTCACTTTCTAGGATTTCTATCCGACAGAAATTGATACTTCTACCTTTAGTTTCTGCATCTCTTTTTTGTTTTGTTTTGTTTTAACTAATCTTCTAATTTAAAGAACATGAAATTTTCCAAATGCAGCTGAGATTTTTGCAAAAACAAAATTCCAGATACATGCTGAGGCTTAAAGAATGTTTGTTGCTGCCCTTTTCTTAAAGGAACAATTTACAATTATCCAAAAAGTCAGCCTTTCATCTGTTAATAAATTCAAAACACTATTTTTTTTATGACCAAAGGATGGATACAACAGACATCTCTGGTCTTCATGCCATCCTCTACCCCATTTGTTGGTGTGGATTATCATGCTTATATCACTCCGTGGCCCAGGCTGGAGTGCAGTTGCATCATCTCAGCTCACTGCAACCTCTGCCTCCTGGGTTCAAACGATTCCCCTACCTCAGCCTTCCGAGTAGTTGGGATTACAGGTGTGCACTACCATGCCTGGCTAATATTTGTATTTTTAGTAGAGTCGGGGTTTCACCATGTTGGCCAGGCTGGTTTTGAACTCCCGACCTCAAGTGATCCCGACCTCAAGTGATATATATCATGTGTAAAGGCATCCCATATGCATATCAGCTGGAAAATCTTTTTAAAAAGTCTCTGCATCCCTTAATTTCCATTTATAAAGTTAGGGTTAAGATTTGTACAAGCATATAAAAGCTTACCTCATTTAAAAAAATAGCTCTGTAACACAATATAAAAATAATTTATTGATAGAGATTTAGGTTTCCAATTTTTAGCTCCACAAAAAAGAAATCATTTTACCATGTACAATTTGGTGCTCAGTTGGGAATATTTCTTTATAATTGTTTCTTGGAAGTGCAACTGCTGAGTCATCAGAGATGCACAGTTTTATTCTGATAGACTGTCAACTTGTATTTCAGAAGGTTTCTCCAATTTATACTCCCACTAGGAGCACATGGAAGTAATATTCTTTGTAAACTTGCCAAGGCTTGATATTATTACTGTTTATAATTCTTGACAATATTATAAAAAATAATTCCTTTTAATTTGTATTTTTATTATTAGTAGTCAGGTTGAGCATCTTTATATATATTTATTAGGCATTTGTGATTTTTCTTTGTGAATTGCCTGTTTATATCTTGTTCCTTATTTCCATTGAGTTGTTTTTTATATTGACTTTTAAGAACTCTGTAAATATATTTTGGCTAGTAATTTTTGTCTGTTATGTATGTTGCAAATTGTTCCCCAGAACTTTGCTGATATTTTAAATTTAATTATTCTGTGTTTTGTTTTAGGAAGGCTTTTAGTTTGTATGAAATAAAATTTGTCAGTTTTTTCTTTTGACTTTTGTGTTTTAATTAGAAAATACCACCATTAATATTAACTTATGTTTTACTACTTTTGTAATATTAAATAGCATGGAATTTACATACTAATACTCTATTTTTCTTCAATGTGCAAATCCAATTGCTCATATATTATTTATTTCATTTCACTCTGCAATGTTGTCTTCATCACAAACCAAATTAAAATATATACATGGATCTGTTTATGGATTTTTTTATGAATTCTCTTTGTAATATATTTTAACTTCTGTTAATGAATCTTTTCTCATTACTTTTGTTTTTAAAAATGTCATAGCTCTATTTTCCTTAGCATCCTTAGTTTATACTTTTAATTAACTTTAGAAATAGTTTTTGTTATCTTGTCATTGATTAAGATAGAATTTAAATGTAGATTTAATTGTTTTGCGATTGCTCATGATATATCTTTCCCTTTTCTAGCTCTTTTTTACGTCTTTGTAAACCTTAATAGTGCACTTTTGCTTCTCACTTTTTTTTTCTTAGTTTTTCCTTATACCTTTGTTAT